GAGAGAGAGAGAGAGAGAGAGAGAGAGAGAGAATGAATGAGATTGAAGGTGAGCCAGGGATCTTACAGAGGATTGTAAGGGCCAAGCATGGAAGTGACAACACACCATTTCTGCTTCCATTCCATTGGCCAGAGCTAGTCAACGGCTGCAACCTACCTGCGGGGGGTTCTGGGAAGGCAGTTCTCCCCATGTGCCCTGTGATAACAAGCAGGATAGAGGAGTATCCAGTCATCTCCGGCACAACTGTTAACCACGTAACATATTTTATGCTAGTGGCAGTGGATATTTTTTATTATTAATCTGCATACTTCACTGTGAACTCTTCCTGAAATTCTGTATAATGCCAGGACCTGTAAAGGACCCAAGAGAATTTGCAATCATCATGTTTCTTTTTTATTTTAGAAATTTTCAGGAAGTCAAGAAATCTACTGAGACATCTACTTCTGAACATTTTATTGCTGTGCAGTTGGCCAATAAACAAAGACTTTCAGTGACAGTTCCTGACAGGCTGGTTTCTGTTACTGAGAAAGGTTTTATGATTTCTATCCTGCTGGTCAGTAAATGACAAAAGGCAAAGAAGTTAGTGATCCTGTTGTGACTGAAATTACATGGGACAATCTAAGAACAGAGATTTTTTTAAATGGCTCTTTTATAAAAATGACTCATTATTGCAACTAGTATTTATACTCAGCTCTGATGGGAGGAATGATGGCATTCCTGTGTCTTATATCAACAAATAAAGTGACTTACTCTTGCAGGTTTAGTACTAATATTTCACTTGAGCAGTTCTTTTGAATTACAATTGGCCTTTACATCGATTAAACAGTTTATTTATGAGTAAACCTGGGAGAGTTTATAGCTATAGGGACACACCTTGGGGCCACGCTTAACTAAGCTTCCAGGTTAATATGTACATAATGTTTTGCAGTGTTTCATAGTTCTGTGGAGTGATTTCCAATCCCATTTCTTCTGCTATGGTTCAGATGTTTAACTTAATTGGGAAACAATATACTGTGATGGTTGGTCATGTGGTCTCCAGCGTCAGACTGAGTTTGGATTCCAATTCTGCCACCCAGTCACTGTGTTACCTTGAGCACTTTCATTGTCTGCTATGGTTACCTAGGTGTTTCTGATAAAAAATACCAGACTGGGTGGCTTAAACCACAGAAATTTATTTTCTCACAATTGAATTCTGAGATCAGAGTGTTGGCTGGGTTGGTTCTAACGCCTTTCTCCTTGGTGTGTAGATGGCTGACATCCTCTGTCTTCATATGGCCTTTCCTCTGTGTGTGTCTGTGTCCAAATTTCCTCCTCTTATAAGGATGCTAGTCATATTGGATTAGGGCTCTTCCAAATACTTCTCTAAATACAGTCACATTCTGAGGTACCAGTGTTAGGACTTCAACATAAGAATTTTGGGGGATACAATTCAACCCATAACAAGCACTTAGCTCAGTCTGATCTGCAAAATGGGCTTATAAAAGTACTTTATAGGTTTGTTGTGAATATTCAAAGATATGATGCATACCAATTTCTTAGAGTAATACCTGGTATATAGTGAGCACAAACTAAATAGAAATAGTTTTATTATTATCATAAATCTTATTATATGTAGCTATGTCATCTGTCCCAACTAGTTGGAGATGGTTGTGTTGCATAGCCTTTTGGTTATTGAGGCCCAGGATGATTGTGGTCTTTCTTGTGCCCCCATAGCATTGGAACAGGCTTCCTTCACAGAGAACAGGGCAGAAACCTGATGTTGTGATCAGGTGGATGGGTATGGATTTTGTGCTAGGAATTTCGTGGTCTTCTCTGGTGTTAGGCATCATAGGTGGCTGTAAAATGCTCTCAGATGTCCTGCTTCCTGTAATGGCCTGCCCAGAAGTTTTACCGGACCTAAATAAGCTCCTGGAGAAGAGCTTGTGTGTCTATGTCAAGGGCAAGAGACAGAAGACTTTTTACGTTGCCAGGAGAGTAACTAAAATTACAGCAGTAGATCACTGAATAAGAGAATTTCCCAAGCACTGCGGATGATTTTTAAAGAACGCAGTGTGTGAAAGAGGCTAGCGCTCCTGTGATTGTAGCTGTCCCAAACAGTTCTAGACTGATGAGAATAGGTAGGATTCTATAATGTTGATATTATGGTAAGTTATCATCTCAGGCCCAAATAAGTGCCTGTTATCTAAATTCCTGGCATTTTTTTCAAACTGACATAGATGTTCCTTCTTTTAAAAAAGTGCTACTACTGTCACAACACAGTCATAGCTTGTGTTAACCATGAGCAAGTATGGTTCTCCACATGGGTCAGAGAAGGAAGGTCACATAGGCTGTGGTGGAGCACGCTGTCCCAGGAGGACAATTCGCCCGTCCATCAGGAGAAGCTTTGGATGTGGCCGGGGTGTCTCACATGCAGTGATGGCAGTTTAGTTCTATAGGCATGCTGTAGGTAGTCCAAACTGGACCCACTTGGCACATCAGCTCCCAAACTTGAGTCAAGGGCACCGCCAGCCAGCTGCCCCACCTTATCAATTTCTCTTTTGAAATGACTGTAAAATACTTGTCTTTTAATAAAAGTTATTAAGTTGTGAGTATGAGGATTGTCACATATAAATACATATATAAATATGAATTTATAAAAAGTAATTTTTAACTGACCATAAAATAATAGGTATCTGTATTCTTATGATCATAAAGTCTGAAATACATCCTTCCTAGGGATTGGTGGAACGGGGAATTAAGTAATTGCTTTAGTGTCACCTAAATCTGTTTACCTTCCTATTAAAGAAAACCCAGCAGTGACCAAAAAAAAAAAAATAAAATCCTTTCCTATCAGTGCCTTCATATGCATTCCCAATGCCCCACAGGCCTCCACCTTCTGACACTGAATCATCCCATTGTACAACCTAGCTGTACACAAATTTTATTTGTTAGTCATACCTTAGTAAAGCTGGAAAAACAATAAGGTTGCTGTCCCATTGTAAAAAAATGTAGAGAATAGTTAACAGAGTCCTGACTATTCCCCTCCACACTAGATCGTTCTATCATTGCTGGTTTTTTCTTCCTTGGTTCTTTTCTGCCTCTTTTGTAAAAGTACTCTGAAAATTTGCCATTTTCTTTTTTACTTGGTTAAATTTAGTTATTTTTTTTTTTTGAAGGAAAGAGCAAGTTAGTACCTTGTATCAAAACATCAACCTTGTGGAGCCGAGACTGGTTCAGCCATACGAACATGTTATAAAGAACTTCATCCGTGAGATCAAACTTCAAAGCACAGAGATGGAAAGCCTGGCCATCGCGGTGAAGAGGTATTGAAGTCCATTCTTTCCAAGTGGCACATGGGGTCTGACCTGGGGGTCATGTGGACTGAACTGCATTATCGTATTGTGACATGGGAGGACTTCCCAATCCTCGGGAATCTGGAGCTTTCTGAAATAAGCCAGCGTGAGGGAAGTTGAATCAGGCAGTGCTTCCTAGGGTCAGTCAGCAATCCCTCAGCAAGTCACTGTGATCCTGTCATTTAAACTCTTCAAGGCGGTGATTCCATACAGAACACTTCAGAGAGATGTGTTATCTTCTCTGTAGCCACTAGAAAGGAATGGGAAACTTTTCATCCAGAGAGGCAGGCAGGGCTCCATTGGAAGCCTGGCCTTGTCACTGACTGGTGTGTCACTTTGGACAGGTTCCTTAATCTCCTTGAGTCTCAGCTTCTGCATCTGCAAAATGAGGCTGTAAATATTCACCTCTTCAGAGGGTTGAGACTTGATAGATATGCCATCAGATGCCCCTCGAGCACTGGGCCTGCCACAGGGTGGGTGCTCAGCAATATTTCTTTCCCTCTCTCTGGCCCTCCTCACCCAGCCTGAATGGAAAGTCTAAGAGCTTCTAAGCCCTTAGTCACGTAGCCAGCCTGTGGAAGGTATAGCTGGCTTATCTTACTGCTTTTAATAGCAACCCAGTGCAGAGAAGAATTCTGTGTGTTGCAATCCAGACATCAGCCTCTTTGCTTCATGGAAGGTCACGCTCCTTTGGCATATGTTGGGAAAGAGGGCATTTCACTTGTCACTATTCCTGATTTGCCCCACAGAGCCTTCTCTCTGCCATGTGTTCCTCCAGCAGCTCCAAGCATGCTGCCCGCCTCTGGTCTCTGCCCAGAACTTGGATAGGATGCCCTTTCTCCAGGCCAGGGCTGCTCCTCTGTCTCTGTGCTTTCCTTCAACACGATGATGAAACTATGTAGTTGACCCTTTGAGGTAACTGACATGAATTAAAATGTGGAAGAGAAAATGTTTTAGACGGTTGCTGTTAAGTAGGACTGTTTTCACAGTCCTGAGTCATGCAGGACTTGAACTGTTCCCAGGGGTTTCTTGTGAACACCTTCACTTCCCGAGGCTGATCTTCTCCCTTGAGTTTGCTGGGGCCTGTCAGTCGGATGGCTTTCAGACCTCTGGATTCTGTGGAGCATGTGGAGTATTGATCAGAGCACCAGGTTGTCCTCCTTTGAGCAGTGACAAGCAGACACACACAGTGAGTTTTTAGAGCATCCAGTGAGTGTCAGTTAAAGTAGACAACCTCTCATGTATACACACAGGTACACACCTACACAGACCCATACAAAGATATGCGGGACACACACACACAGACACAGGCGTGCATATATCACCTCTAAGGTAGTATCCTGCAAACCCATTAGGGAAGGAGGGGATGGCATTCTTCATGTTCTCATTACCGGCGAGGCTGCTCTCTGGCTGTGGAGTATGTCACTTTATGTTGAGTTATGTTGGTGCTTCTCTCCTCCTGCTCCTCTGCTCCCTGGGTGGGATCCAAAGTCAGGCTCTGTCCTGAGCTCCAGGCCTCCTAAAGGCCTCTCTCTCAGCTATCAGATGCCTCACTGAAGCATTTATGTGACCACTGGGAACATTTCCGTACATTTCTAAGTAAGGACCCTTCACCCTCACCTCTGTCTTTTGGTTGGGGGAGGGTCACAGTCGTCTTGCTCTGCGCTTGCACTGAAGGATGGGTTCCCAGTGTTCCGGTAGGCGCCCTGGACTAGGGTAAAGTGGGCATTCCCAATACCCTAGACATTCTACGAGGAATTAGGAATTGCTGGGTCAAACACTGTCATTGTAACCTAAACAACCAAACAATGTAAAAGTTTCTCAGAAGTGAGAAAAGCAGAAGGAACACATTCAGAAGCAGCCCCAGGTGCCCAGATGTCTGGGACTGGACGTCTGGAAAGAGTGGCTGGAAAGACCCGTCATGACAAAGGGAGAAATGGAAATGTGGCAGAGCTCTTCTCAGTTTCAGAGTTCACTGAAAAACAAGCAAGCCCCCAAACCAAAGTTGCTATGGAGATATATAATTCCTAGGGTTCAAACAGCAAGTATTTGTAAACGAACTAGAACTAGCTGACATTCCATACGAGGTTCGCCTAACCTCAGGCAGGGTGTAAGGTGAGGAAGTAAACAGGAGCAGAAAATAGTAGTAAGTCACTCAGAACTTTACCTTGGGGTTTTCCCTCCACCCCTCAATGCTTGTTTGGAACTTTAGGCAGAAATTAAACTAAAGCACCAACAAATTGTGTTGCAAGGGAGTAAGTTGAAAGCAGGTGGGATGGTATGTAGCAGAAGCCGTCAAACTGAAGAACTGGAGGTTTTCTTAGGTCCTGTTCTCTACTGTTCATTAACAGCACACTGTTGATCCAAGTGAACTGACTCTAAACCTCATGGTAGCTGCTTTCAAGTCGCTTATAATCTAGTTGAGTAGGCAAGACAAATGCTTGTGAAATGTAGATAACTGGACATATAGCTGAAGCCTCAACCATTGTAAAGTGACTGATGACTTCATACTAGGCAACTGCTACATAGAACTGCCCTGTAACTCTTCTCAACAGAATTCTCCCATTTCTAACTTCTTGGCAAATCAGTATGTTCTGCCTCCATAAAATGTGATTCATTGATTACATTAATAAAAGAAACAAATTTTCTAAAGGGTAAATTTATCTGCATTTATAACTTCAAGGAAATGATTAGTAACAATTGCTGAGATCTCCCCCCACCCAATGGTAGCATATAACATTGTGTCTTTCATATAATGAAATTTCAAAATTACATCCGACCATCTCTTTGCCATGGAGTTCTTTTATTTAGTGCAGGGTTCTAGCTCAGTCATGACAGGTAAAAGGATTTTCAGAATTTATTGACAGCCTCCCAGTAATTTAGTAACTATCAGTTCTCTGCCACAATCTAGTTTAATGTCATTTTATCCAGTATATTCCATTTATTTATTATCTAGTTTTAATGTCTTCTTACTCAAGTGGTCAAATTGCCAACCTCATTTTACTATGTGGGAGGCATGGTGATTATTATTTTAAATACTGTGTTTCTCCTCATTAGTAAAATGAAGGGCTTGAAATAGATTAGTCGAAGTTTTCATGTTACAAGCTGGAGCGTAATGAAGATGTCTGCATCTCCCCTTGAATCTCAGAGCCCAGGACAAGGCAGCCATGCAGTTGAGTGAGCTGGAGGAGGAAATGGACCAGAGGATTCAGGCTGCAGAACACAAGACGCGGAAAGACGTGAGTGTGTGGGATTCATTCATTCATTGAGTCCTAGGGAGCACCTTTAGTGGCCTGGGCACTGGCGTCCTCTGGGTGCAGCAAATCCAGGCTCCCACGGGTGCTGTCAACGAGGGCATTTTTAGAAGTGGTGGTTTTGGGCCATAGATAGGGTAAAGAGAGAGAACAGGTAAGTAATCAGATAAACAAAGCAGATAATTTCAAATAGTGACAAGTGCAGTAAAGAAACAGCACAGTGTGTGATAGACCACGACTGGGAGAGGAGGCTATTCAGGTTGGGAGGCCTGGGGCCTTCAAGGAGGGGTGACAGGAGAGTGCCGAGGCCTGAGGGAGAAGGCAGAGCCAGGCTTCTGTAGAGAAGGGTGGCTCACGTGTTACGTGCCACTGTCTTACTGCCAATGTTATAGCTGGATTACAGAGAAATTAAAATTCTCTCTGCAGACTTCGTTGTTTTATAATGGAATATAAATTATAAATAAAAGGATATATGGAATATACTTTTTTTTAAATATATCTTTATTGATTTCAGAGAGAGGAAAGGAGAGGGAGAGAGAGAGAGAGAAACATCAATGATGAGAGAGTCATTGATCGAGTCCACAACCTGGGCATGTGCCCTGGCCGGGAATCGAACCCTGATCGCCTGGATCCCAGGTTGACGCTCAACCGCTGAGCCACGCTCGGCCGGGCTGGAATATACTTTTATTCATCATTATAGGAACTCTTGTAATTGAAAGTTGGATGCTGTCTTCAGTGATTTCCATAGAAGAAATAATTACCTTTTTTCCTTGTAAAATATCTTTGGGTGATTAATGTTTACTGGAAACAGAAAATAGTCATATTTCTTTCAGTAGCTAGTGTTAGCATTTATTTTTTTGGAAAAACATATATTTTTTCTATTCATTTGTCCTGTTAACTCTGAGAGGCAGCAAAAGAGAGTGAGAAAGGCCTGAGTGTTGGCATCCATAGACCTTAGTTTGCTTCCTGGCTCTGTCCTGTCTAGGTTATAGATGGTACTGGAAAAATAACCCGACCAAGTAACCTGACCTCTGGGCCTTTGTTGTCCCATCTTTAGAATGGGTTTCAATTCCAGAAGTAGCTGTATAGCTACAGTCATGTGGTTACTCCCGCCCTCTCAGTGTAGGAGTCTTGGGATCAGCCTTAGTTCGACACAAAACATTTCTCACCTGTGGGGTTATGAAGACCCTATTTAAATAAACAAAACCTTTTTTTTTTTTTTCTTTTAGGAAAAACGCAAAGCTGAGGAAGCCCTCAGCGACCTCAGACGTCAGTATGAAACAGAGGTGGGAGATCTACAGGTGACGATAAAGAAACTGAAAAAGGTAAGTCTGTGGCAGCTAGGCTTTTAGGAGTGACTCCAGGATATCGGTGTGTCTGAGTTTATTAGGGACTAAAGTCATTTGGAACCACATTGAAACAGCAGGTGGAATCAGATCTCAGAGTCAGATTGGACTCTGTGGTAAGGCCGTTTCTTTAAGGGACCCCGATGTCCTTTTATGTTTGGAATGGCATCCTGTCTTTTTCATAGACCTACTATTTCTGATCCCTTGAACAGTTGTCCTTCACACTCCAGTTTTTTTTTTAGCTTTCACCATCCAAGTGCCCTCAGCCCACGTGTCCAGTGGACTGTCTGCTCATGGCAGAGGGGTACTGTCTTTCCTGGTCACGTGTCCCTGTATATCTGTTCCCAGCGAGGTATATGGTAGGTATTTGGTGAATATTTATTAAATGAAATGAATATTCCCCTTTTGTGTTGAAAGTTCCAAATCTAGGTGACCTCTGATCAGCAAGAGGTGGGAGATGACTTGTTGAAGTATGAGCAACGATGTGAATGGGTTTTGGCCTTTGTTCTATTTGGTTCCTAATGAGTAGAGTACATTTCACTCAGTGGAGTGCTACTGGGTATTTAACAACTGGCTCTGGGTCTGGGGGGAGAGGGAGAGACTTGTAGCATTTGCCAATTTCCACGGTATAAATAATCCCACCATTACCGAATTCAGGCTACCAAGTTGACATCACTGAATGCACAGTTTGGGAAGAGATACTTACCTGGTGGGAAAAGTTGACTCCAATACAGTACTGGACCCACTTCTTGCTTGTGGATTGTCTCCATAACTAATGGAAACATCTCGGCTAACATGAAAATGACTACTTAAAAAATAATCATCCCTGAAAGTGGCATTGTGATTTTGGGGACATCACTTTGCTTTATGGCAGTTCATGTGATAACCTTTAATACTCCTGAGCCAATTTAGTCTGGACGTACTACTGAGTAAACCAGCAAGTAAAGCTCATGTATATATTTATATAATTTTTAGTGTGCCCGTGTCTCTACCTTCCCATCATACTTAAATTTTATTGATTTTAATCATTCGATAATAATTTCCTGAAATCACTATGAAGAAAACAGAGGTGAAAATGACACTCACTTAGTGCTTAAAAATCTTAGACTCTAGCAGGACAGGTAGAACACTTACCAGTAACTATAATACAGGATAGAAAGTGTTAACTGCAGTAAAGTTCTAGGTGAACATAGGGTTGCAGGCTCACGTGTAGTATAACTGGAAAAGCAAGGATTGGGTTGCTTTAGTTGAATGATTTCCAGAAAGGACTTTCTAGTTGTTTCAAATAAAATTTATTAAACAATAAAACTCATTTTTCAAATGTTGAAATTATTTAAAGCAAATTTTAAATTCTCGTGAGTTGTGTGTCGTTTAATGACTTATGAAGTTGTATAATGTTGAAAATGGGAGACTTCTGGAATTCCCATTTCTATATGCAAGGATATTCCTAAACTTAACTGAATCCATTCGGAGCAAGTCTGTAAACGCCCAACTTTTATTTGCTCTTCCAGCTAGAAGAACAATCGAAACATGTAAGTCAAAAAGAAGATGTGGCTGCATTAAAAAGACAAATTTATGACTTATCGATGGTAAGAATCACCTTCTCACACACAGAAATACATTTCCTAAACTACTACTTCCTAAACTTAATCATGCTATCACTTTAGTGTTTTGGGAATAGAAGCTTAAACAGAAATTCATGCTGTAGTTAGAGAAGGTCCTAGCAGTACCTTCATCCAAAGATGTTATTTATGCAGGCTTTTCCCCTCTATGGTACCCCGTCTGTTGTGAACACTTGTATTTATTTTTTATTCCAAGCAACAATGGCATGGCCTTAACCTTTGACTAGTTAACCCTGCATTCTTACAGCATCAGCTCTGGTCTGCATCCCTGGCTTCCCCTTTCTGACCCTTTTCCATCTTCCAAAAGACCATATCTTTTGTCTTTCTGTTGCCAGTACTGATAACACATCTGTTTTATTATCATTAAGAAGTTTTCTTTATTTTGTTTTTAGGTTAACTCTAAAGGCCGAAAGCCAATAACGAGCATTTCTTTCATTGTCACTGCAGAGCCGAGAAGTGAGGTAGCCTGAGCTAGAGTTGCAGTCCTTTCTCTCTAGCCATTAGCCCTGTGCCACTCAAAAGTGAAGGTTCCCAACCCCATGGCCAGATGAATCCCCTTAATGCACCACCAGTTCCATGTTTCGCAACATCTTAGTTGGCTTTGTATTTGGACCGTGGCTTTCTTAAAGAGTTGCTTGTCTTTGTTGGATTTCCTGGTTGAGTTTTTGGTTTCTTGTTGTAAAAAAACAACTACTCTGCCATCTTCATGGTATCACTGATACCTTATAACTTCCTGTTTCTTCTTTTCAATGCATAGAATTTGTTTTTTCTCCTTAAAAATATTAATTTTGGAGTCCACGAAGTTTTAGTACTTATTGGACTGATTGATTTTTAAACTTGCTACCCATATATGTCGTCTTGGAATATCTGATCATTTTAGGTAGCTGGTGTAGGGTTCCTGTTCAGCTAGGTAAACAGGCCTGTTTACCTCAGGACCTCTGCCCTGAAATGGGTCTTCCTAGGAGCTCTGTGTGTGAAGCTGGCTCTCAGACTGGGGGACCCTGATTATGAGAATGAGTGGGGAATGGATGTTATTCAGAGAGACGCTTTAGCTTTCCTTATAGGAGTCATACAGTTTTGTTTTTTATTGAAAAGATAAGCTCTGTCTTGCTGCTTCTGGAATCAACTCTGGTTGGAGGGGCGGGGTGACTTAATATATCAATTTAATCTCTGTTTTCAGTTCCAGTCTCACTCTCTGTTGGGGCTTCTGCCAGACCAACTGCCCCTTCTTTGTTCTACAGCAGAACCTTTTCCACCTTTTTTTTCCCCTACTCGCTTCCTTTTGTCAACACTTTTCTGTCCAGTTTCCATTTTTCAGAAATGTTTAAGTCACTTGACTGCAGCCCTTCCATTCTTTTAACTTTCATTAGCTTATTTCCTTTGGTATTTTATGTTAACTGGGTCTCAAAAGGGAAGGAAGACAAATGCATGTGCTCAGTTCACGATCTTGAGCTGGAAGCCTCCAGTGAATTTTCTTTTAGAGAAATTTCTTAGATAATTTCTTAAAGTTTTAAAAGTTCTTTGAAAAAATTCTTAGAAAATTCTAATTCTTTTAGAATTTCCAAAAAAAAATTTTTTAGAAAATTTCTAACCATACTGGTCTGTTTTTAAGTGCAAAACTTAAAAATGTTAGGTGATAGGATTTATTGTAAAAAGGAACCAGTCTACCTGGTAATAGGTACTATTAATTTCACAGAATTTTTATCAGCAGTTTCATAGCTCTCATTAAGTAAAACAGATGTTTAAATGTTCGATCTCAGTTAATTTGCCAATAACATGTCAAAGTACATCATGACAGACTTTTGAGTGTTGGAGTTTGGCACCAAAGTAAAATAAAAAAGACAACAACTTTGAGGATTTAGATTTTTGACACTTTAATACTTTATAATAATTTCAAATTACCTTGAATTGATAATTTGTTCTTTGAATACTAAGATTCAAAGAATTGTGGATGGGAGAGAGTGATGGGGAAGGTTCTACTACACGTTACTTCATTCCTCCCAGATGGAAGAAACTGAGTCTGATGACCTGCAGTCTTCCTTTTCTCTAGGAAAATCAGAAAGTGAAGAAAGATCTTTTGGAAGCACAGACAAGCATAGCCTTTCTTCAGAGTGAATTAGATGCTTTGAAAAGTGATTATGCTGACCAGAGTCTGAATTCTGAAAGGTATGAAACTTCACATTTGATTTTTCTAGTTTGAGTGGAATGTTTATTTAGGCAACCATCATGGGGATGAGGCTCAGCTTTGTAATAATAAAGGCTTATTCATTAACTCTACTGATACATTCTTTGCTTTCTAAAGATTTTTTCAGTGACAGCTTTTCTAGTGATTTTCGTGTTTTAATTTTTTATACAAACAGATTAATTAGTTTAATTATTCACGGGGGTAAGAACAGTGCAGGGCTTAATAAATGTTTGAATTAACTCTGAGCAGAAGAATGTACCTAACATGTCAAGAGTCAGTGCTAATTAAAGGGCTTTGAAGGTAGGAATGTGGGCCCTTCAACCTAAGAAAAGGGAGAAGTAGTCATTTTAGGCAAGTAATTTTATTTTGCTATGGTTTAGTTTTGCAGTTTTGTATATATACATATATATATATGTATGTGCATATATAGGGATATGTAAAATGCATTTATGTGCAAATAGAAAAAATATATATGCGACACACATTTGCATATAAATGCATCTGTATACATATATGCATATGAAATGCATCTATATGCATATATAGATACACACATATATGTACACTTGGGAAAATACCTTGTTTTTTGTTTGTTTATTTGTAAACTTTAATCGGAATCAAGGTCCTGTAATGGAAAGCAGGGAAACATTTATTAAGTACTTAATATCTACAGGTCCTTGAGTTAAGTGAGGAGTTTTAAGTACTCTCTGCTCTTTGAGAACTTGAAATTTAGTTGAGGAAGATAAATAGCTAAAAGATGACAGAGTTGACCTAAGAGCTGAACAGTGTCAGAAACAATACCACCAGCAGTGTTATGGGTTGGGTCCATTGCCATGGATGGTAGACAACATGTTCTTTTAGTTCAGAAGTGGTGAAGAACTTTACTAAAGAGGACACACTTGAGGTGACCTTGGGAGGGGGAATATGTTTGCATTGGTCAAGGGGGACAGAGGCAACATCAGCAAGTAGCGCAGGTGCCATCTGCCAGGCACAGTCCCTAGTACTTTACTAGTATTAACTCATCCAGTCCACAGAGTATCCTATGAGAAAGGGGCTTTCCTTATCCCCATTTCACAGATGGGAAGGAAAGGTCCAGACGTGTTCCAGGTGAGGCAATAACCAGTGCAGGGTCCAGAACATTGGGACAGATAAAACTAGTTTGGGGAAGAGTGGTCATACCACTGGACAGAAAAAAGACATTTTGCATGGAAAGGTAAAAGTTTAAAAAACTTAAAATGTTTAAAAGCTAGTTTAAGACTAGAATGTAAGGGCTCAGAATTTTTGATGAAGGAACTTAAATTTTTATAGGTAATTGGGAACATTTTAGCCTTATTAAGAGAGTAAGTAGACAGGTAATCGTGGACAAAATTTGATATCCTGAGAGTTTTGGAAGTTAGCAAGGGGGTTTTTCTGCTTAGAAATGGGGCTGCAGTGGAATACGGGCTGGAGATAAGTGACTGGTGTTCAGAGCAGACTTTCTGGGGATGAGGCCAGGGCTGCATAATAGAGCAACAGAGGTATCAGTGTGTGAGAGCTCGTAGAGGAGAGAAAGCCCAGGCCATGGATTCCTCTGTGGTTCAGGGGGAGGAGGGGAGGGAGAGCAGGAGTAAGGGCAGGGCAAGGAGAGAGACGGAATCATGAGAAAGGAGAAAATAGCTGGGGCTGGGATTGTATGAGGCTTGGAATGATTGGAGAAGGGTTAGAAGCGAGAAAGCGAATTGGGGAGAGGGGACTCAGCAGAAAGGCCAGTGGTTCATTCCCAGGGAGGAACAGCCACGTCAGGGGGTGGGGACGGAAGGGCTGGGGCTGGTTGATACTGAGAGGGCGATGAGGTGGAGCAGCGCCTTGCACAAGGATGCTGAGGGTGTGGGTGTGTTTGTAGAGTCCCAGGAGGAGAGGAGGCTGCTGAGGGCAGAGAAGCACCAAGTGGGAGCACAGATGAGATAGACACTGTGGTCAAGGACACACGTCTTTGCAAATGTGAAAAAGAATCTGAGAGGGCAGGTTTGGGTAAGGCAGGACTGAACACCTAATTCTCATTCAAACATAAAATATAATTTTACAGGGATCTGGAAATAATCCGAGAGTACACGGAAGATCGAAATAATCTTGAGAGGCAAATTGAAATACTCCAGTAAGTTTTCATATAAAATGCTCATTATATTTACATTTTACTTATTTTGTTGTTAATAAAACGTGCCGCATATAGCACAGGTTCTGTTTTCTGAAGACTGGATTCCCTCGTCCACTTGTGTGTCTTCCGCCTGTGCTGCATTTAGCACAGCCACTCAGCTGTCCGATGCTTCTAATTCTGAGTAAACTATTCAAATCCAGGCACTAGAGTATCATTCTCTGTAAGTCCTTGCTAGTCAGGCGATGTGTCTAGCACGTCTTTAGTACACCTCTGTAAAGAGTAACGGCCCTGACCTTAAAGCCTTTCTCTGCTGCTCACCTGCGAGGTTGTCAGGCATCTCACGGTGGTCACAGCACTGGGCATACAGAGCATTCTTTCACAATCTGTTGTGCTTGGTTAGGTGTATATTTTTCTTAGTTTTTTACAAAACCCTACTGGAAATATTACACCTGTTCAGTCAGCGTCACAGCTGAGTTGCAGTAATTCCAGCCTCTGAGGCCCCTCCCCCTCTCCATTCCTTTCTCTGTTTTCTACCCAAGCAGTCTTTTCTGCTGGTTTCACTTCCCCAAGTGAAGTAAGATCAGGCTTGACAAATTTTTTTCACCATCTTTGAATAGTTATGAAGTCTCACTTGTGGCAATTGCAGAGTTGATATATTACCATAATCCTAGTCATTCATTTATTCAGCAGATTTTCACTCACCACGTTTTAGGGATCAGGTGTGCCTGGAGCTGAGGATGGAATGGCAAGCAGGAAGGACAATGTCTCTGTCCTAATGGGGCTAATCTAGGGAAGAAGATGGAAACTGATCAATAATTATAGAAATATAAAATGCTGAATGAGAGAGGTGGGACAAAGGAAAGGGGTGTGTATACCATAGAGAACTTCAGCCTGCCCAGGAAGCCCAGGAAGTGTTCCTCGAGGAAGCATTGAGTGAGCTGAGGTCCAAAGGGTGGATGAATAGGCCTTCAGTAGGGAAGCCAAGGAGAGGCTCTGTGATTATCCTCATTTCATAGGAGAAGTTGCTGAGGCTCGGACAGGTTAAATAACTCCCATCAGTCATGTGGAAAGGACGCTCCTGAGTTGGGATTTGAACGCAGAGTCAACATTGGAGCCTTTAACATGTGCCCGGCGGCAGCAGGCCAGGAACGGGATGCAGGAGTAGCCTGGGAAAAGCGTGTGTAACACACCACGTCCACAGCCAGGCTGCGTGCAGGGGCATGAAGAGCGGCTCTGGGTGCTGGCCGGGGCCAGGCATTTAGGGAGCAGAGACCTGCGTGAAACCTGTTCAATCAGTGGAGCTACCTGAGGGAAGAGCAGTTCCGCAGAGCAGCTGATACCTTCCTAACGTGCCCTGAGATCTGTGGAGAGGTGGTGCAGGCATTTAAGTTGTACTTCTAGCTGGGAATTGTGATCTCAGTATGTGGGGCGTGAAGGGAAGAGGTAGGAATTTGCAAGAGGTGCCATTCCACGTTCTGGACATCACAGCCTGAAGAATAAGTGGTTCCACTTGTCCCCACTGATATTTCCCGTGTCGATGTATCTGTTTTATTTGTTTGCTCTGCAGAACAGCTAACCGGAAGCTGCACGACAGCAACGACGGCCTGAGGAGCGCCCTGGAAAGCACGTACAGCAAGTTCAGCAGGTCCTTGGTATGCAGCAGAACTTCTAACCCATGTTGTTCTCCCTCGTGGTGGCATATTTTGATGAAAATCTTGTATTTATCGGGGGAGAACTTACAATCATGAGAAGCTATTCCATACGAAAAAAATGGGGGGCAACATTTTCCCAAATTAAAAAACTGTGCCACCCCTCCAAGGAAATAAATGCCTAGAGGTTAACCAACTCTTTGTTAGACAGTCTAGGAAGCCAGAGAGAGATGTGTGAGGTGTGACCTGGGCCCTGGCAGGGATTATAGGGTAGTGGGTGGTTCTGATGTGCACAGATAGCAGTAATATCCCGTCAGGTACAAGTGAAATATTGTCCAGCTGAGAGGAAGGGGAGGGCGCTTCTGGCTGAGAAGCGTGTTCACACACATCGAGCATTCTTCACGGTAGTGAGATTAGCAGAGTGGACGCCTTGGGTTTTAAACCCTCCTGCAGAAACAAGCTAAGCCCCACTTGGAATTTTGAGGACCTTTCCCAGACTCTGTGTGCCAGAAAGCCTCTTTTCCCTCTTTTGGGGGTCAGCTTCAAGTTTGGGGTCCCAGTATTGTAGCTTTTGGTATGGAAGAGTCACTACTAAGCCAAATTATGGTTGGAGAGGAAACAGATCAAAAGAAGTTGGTATTGCACGGTCCTGGAGGATCTAGGGAACCAGGTGCCCCTTTATAGCTTACGTGGTAACATTCAGACTTAAGAGACAACGAGGAGGAAGTACCACATGCGGTAGTTGCATTTCCCCCCTTGATTTCTGTGCTCACCTTTGCTCATGTAGGACACCAGACTCTTAATTACATTAGAAGTTAACTAGTGTGCTACAGTTTAAAAAAACATATATATAAATAAAATGCTTACATGGAGTAACGCAACATTACTTATATATTCCAGCGTGTAAATAATGTATCGCCAGGGAATACAATTTCTAGGAGCAGTCCCAGATTTAATGGTCATTCTCCTCAACCTCCGGGCTATGACAGGTATGTTACTTAAGTATTGTTTGAATTCTGGATCCAAGTTGAAAGAAAAGTAAATTTCCTTATAGGTAAATTAAAATAATAGAATATATTTTGGGCCCTAATTTCTATTTCTACCCTTACTTTAAATTTCAAACATGAAATATGTAAAGATTAAAGAAAAAATTTTGCATAGAGAAAACTGATTTCCTTAAGATGTTATCGTGACTTGGTTTTATGTAAGCTCACCTTTACTTCACCCCTAATCATGTCTTGTTTCTTAGAAGTAGACTCAGTAAGAGGAGTTTCAGGAAAACCAGTCAAACTATGGTATATGATGTTGTGGTATAGGATGTTGAGACTCTTGGCAAATGTGTAATAGCTCAGCATAATATTACATAAGTTGTGTACAAGGGAAAGGACACTTTCAAAACAAACAGCAATATGGCTAGTAGAGGTTTATAAGCTCCTGTATTAAAGGAGTCACAGAGGCTACCAGAAGTGAACAGTTAGCTCTACTTTTAATTAACTGAAGTGAAATATTGGCCCTTCTGTAACTTGAGATCTAGCCTTAAACACTGAAAGATTGTATGTGTGTACACATGTGTGAACACACACATACGTCCAGTGTTGCTACTTAAAAGGTTACTTTGGGAGTACATCAGAGGTTTGGAAGTAGAAGTGAGTACACAAACTACAGGTTTCCATCGGAGCTGGGATGCTCCATCTCGATGCAGCCTTCTGATTCATGTTCATTCCCTTTTCATCCGGGAACCTTTGGTCTAAAGAATAATGTACTTAATATCCTGGTGATAGCAAAATGGGCAGGTCCCCTTTCAGGAAGGTCTGTTACCAAGGCTATTGGTGATCACTTTTAAGAAAATTCTACCCATGTATCAGATGTTTTTATTGTCCACTGATTTGTGAAATAAAAATTTTTAATTGTTTAATGACTTATAGGCAGCTGGCTGCTCTGTTATTGGGAAATAGAGATTACTTTTAAGAATGTGTGTGTGGGTGTGTTGCCATTTTTCTGAACTGATATTTAAGGTCAGTTTTAAGCACATAGGGGGAAAGATAGATAATTGAAAATTATTCCAGAAGTAGTAATAGAGTGTGTACACACACACACACCTAGCCAGCTAGCTAGATAGATTGAGATTTGGTATGAAGCTCCTGTCCTAGGAAAAAGACCTCATAACTGAGCAACATATTTAGACAAAATATGTTGGTTAAATCACCTTTTTAGTTAATTTTAAACATTTGCTAAAGGCACCAAAATATTTTGATATCTCAGATTTATATGGCTTTTACTTATTTGTATTAAGATCATCCTATCTTTTCTAAGCATATCTGTCTCTCGTTATTTCTCATATCTGGAGGCCCATGTACCCTGCCCATGCCCCCTTTCTGATGAGGTCATGTATGCCAAGTAGCTAGGATAGTACCTGGTGTGCAGTGGAGACTAAATAAATTGTAGCCATTGTTTTTATTTTAATATAAACTTAGATTCGTGTGAAAATAAATAGAGAAGCAAAAGTAAATAGGGAAGTACACAGTTTCTTCAGACTCTCCTATTTGAGTTTCACAGAAGGAAAGATCCATAGAAGCCTGTGTCTATGGAACCTCTCCTCTAGGGGTCTGTCCACACTTAACGGCAGAAAACTGATGTCATCTGTCAAACTGTTCCAGGACCACACAGTTCTGATTGCCTGTTATTTTCTACCATGTTATTGGAAGTATGACTCCCAGAAAAGTTTACCAGTGGGCCCTGATTTTGTCTTGGGCAACCTGAGAGAATGTACCTTTCTTCTTCATGTGTCAGTCCTTTGATTGTTTCAAGAGAGAAACCATTAAGCTGAGTACACTAAACCATTTCTCATATCTGAGGGTTTTGAAGTCTCACGTCATCCCAGTTGCCTTTCCCGTCCAGGTTACCGGCATCCCTTTTAAGTAGAGATGTTATCCAGAAATGGACATACTGTTGAGTGTGGTTTGACCACACAAGAGCAAAAAAATTCACGTGTTCTACATGCATTTTTCTTAATGCAACTTTAGATTGATTTACACCCTGGGAACTTTTCTATCAGGAAATAAAGGTGATTTTTTAAAAAACAGCTTTATTTATTAAATGTTTGAATGTCTTTATATTAATTGATTGTTGCATGGAACAAACTGATATGGCTTTGAATGCTTCATTTTCCCTGATGCTTAATCATGGACTACACTGTGGCTCTTGGCAAACGTGAGAGTGTCTGTCTTCTTGAGTCCAGTATGTCCCACTATTGCCCATGTGGCCTTGAGTGTTTCGAGCCCTCAGGTCAAGCAGCCTTCTCCTCTGTCCCAGGTCATCCCGCTCTTCCTACGTGGATGAGGACTGTGACTCGCTGGCCCTCTGTGATCCCATGCAGAGGGTGAATTATGAGCTTGACAGCCTGCCCGAGAGCTGCTTCGACAGTGGCTTGTCCACCTTGAGGGATTCCAATGAGTATGACTCGGAGGTGGAATACAAACAGCAGAGGGCATTTCCGAGGTCCCACGGCACGCAGGAGAGCTTTGCGGGCGATGCTTCAGACACAGACGTAAGCCCTAGGAACCGCTGCCCTTCTAGGCCTTGTCTTCGATAGATACCTGTTGCCCTGTTTCACCTTGATCTCTCATGGGAATCCATTTTAAAGGTTATAAATATGAAACATAGGCAGAGTGTTTCCCCCCCCCACCAAATTAAGGAGAAATTCTAATCCATTGCCTTTTGGGGCCACCCTTTTTCATAACAGCATTGACGACTCAGCTGTATTCTTTTCTTCTTGTTAATCTATGATGTATATGTGTAATGAGAGACTTTGTATTTTAACAGCTGACTTTTTTAAAAACAGGTTCCTGACATAAGGGATGAAGAGACATATGGTTCAGAAGGTGTGGCTTCCGTCTTAGACTGGAAGCCCCAGGGGTCCATTAGTGAAGGCAGCGTTGTTAGTTTTCCAAGAAAGCCCATCTTGGCACTTTCACCCCAGGTAGGTAGTTTCTGAGACACTTTTATTCCAGGCCACAGATATTTTTGTGTGCCATATAACTTAATAGGAGGAAAACTGGCACTCCCTTTGTCACCCTCTGTGGCCTTTCCCCCTAGACAGACCTGGCGGACAATAACAGATCTCCCAGCTCACAGAAGGCTTACAAGATCGTGCTTGCAGGGGACGCTGCTGTGGGGAAGTCTAGTTTCCTCATGAGGCTTTGCAAGAATGAATTTCGAGGAAATACGAGTGCCACCCTGGGTATGTTTCCTTTTTCATATACTAATGGGGAAATGACCTTCTTCAGCTTGATTTTCTTTTCTTTAGGGGTATATACACAGATACACAAATCAATCTCTCTCTCTCCCCCATACATATATATAGGTATGTGTGTGTCTGTGTACTTGTCTATAGAATGGTCATCTTCTGTTTTGGCGAAGGCCCAACTTTAGGGAAGGAAGACTGACAGGACAGAGGTATCTACTTAGCCAGTCAGATGAACCACACCAAGTTTAGAGCCTGAGATGACAGATCATTTATTCAGCAAACATTTCCTTAGGAACTTACATCCCAAAGGAGGGAAATAGATGAAAAAAAATAAAAAATAAGAGGTTTAGAGAGAGGTGCACTTTTATTCAGGGTGGCTAGAGAAAGCTTTTCTGATAAGATGTCATTTGATGTTGATAAAGTGACATTATTGATGGCTAGTTTGTCACTATGGTCAAACTCATAGCTAGATGTATGCTCCCTCCCTCCTTTACAGTGGCATGAGGACTGTTTCTCAGAACAAGGAAAGAAGTAGTGTCCCAGTTTCCCAAATTTGCATAATAGTAAAAGGAGTTGAAGATATGCAAATTATCATTTATTTTTCTTCTTTATCTAAAAGTGTTCTTATTTTGATAACCAGAAATGTTAGGAAAGATTGATTACCCTCTTCACAATGTGCATCATTGTAAATTTATGGTTCTTTGTTAGACTGTTGAAGATAACAAAGCCCAAAGTTCACTTTAATTTGATTCATAAAAAGACTGCTGTATCTGGTTTAGTTGCTAGAGAGCTGGGCATATATACATATCATGTACGTATATATATATGCACACATAAACACATGCACATATACACGTAGACACATACACGTATTTATGTATGTGCACGTGCACACACATAACTGAGTTCACCTAATTACATGAGCAAACAGCACATAGATTTCCCTTTGCCCACAGAGTAAGTCCTCTCCCAAGTCAGCCAGCCTGCAGGTGGTACATCTGCGTGCACTCGTGTGTATGACTTGCAATTAGCATGTGCAGGTCACTCTCTGTGAAGGCCAGGTTCATTCCTCTCTACCTTGCTGGCTCTTTGGTTTATTGGCTTCTGTCTCCTCTAAAGTAAAAACCAGTGGAATTATTTACATCATGTTCTCTATGTTCTCTTCTGTTTCTTTCTAGGAGTTGATTTTCAGATGAAGACTCTCATTGTAGACGGAGAGTGCACGGTTCTGCAGCTCTGGGACACAGCCGGTCAGGAGAGGCAAGTGCTTTCCATAATGCCTCAGGCCCTGCGCAGGCTTGTAGGGACAAGCTCCGGAGCACACTCGGTGTTTTTTATGTTTATAACTATGTAATTATAAAATACCATGTAGTTACATGGTACACTAGAATTTCAAGAATGCTCACTTTTTCCACTTCCTTGCCTCCTTCAGTTACCTGTCAAGTTGTGTGAGAAAAAGGACCTTCAACTTCCACTGAGCTCATGTTCAGTGGGGAAAAAGAGAGTACCCTTTCCTAACCAGAGAATTTAGGGGAGACACCTCTGAATGCAGTGACAGCGGGAGGAATTACTCATTGGGGCACAATAGAAGGTGGAGGAGGGAACCTGTCAGCTCCCCTTGGTTCAAGGGCAGAGGCACAAACTAAGTAGCAGACTTGCATCTGGTGACAGTACCTTATCTTGCATTTATTGCCAATGACCAGAAGCAGTAAAGGTAGGTTTTAGTATTGTCTAACTCCTTGGGAGCAGAATCTATCCAGTTCAACGAGTGAGTATGGGGCAGCCGCCTCCCTCTGCACCAGGCACCATCTAGGCTGCTAAATGGTGAGGTTCATCCGTGTGTCTTTTCAGTAGGACACAGATACCTGCCCCAGGGGAGCTCATATTCTGTAGCAGATTGAGCATTGCAACATTTAAAAAATACTTGTGGCTGACATGGCCCTATTTAAGACAATATAAAATACTGCACTTGGTTTACATTGCAACATATATGTTGCAGAATGCTCTTCCCCCAGTGAGTCCCTCACCCCCATGTATGTAAAGGTCTGGTGCGTGGCGGTGTCCATGTTTCTCTTTCATCCTGCCCACGCCCTGAAGATCATTGTTCTCTAATGTGCATCTCCTTCCACCCTTCTCTGAGTCCCACTCGCGGGTTTTGGTAGGTTTTTGCCAAAGCTGGAACTTTCAAAAATTGCACTGTCAGCCTTGTCCTGGTTGTGTTTTGGGGTTTGTAGACATTCTTGAGATTATTTGGTGGAGAAATGACTGGCTTTTTAAAATCAGTAGCCCAGATTCTCATCCTGTTGCCTTTCACTGGGTCAGTGTAGGCCTTGGAGATGGCTGTCTCACAGTGATACGTTGCCGTCAGATTTTTCTCAGTTGAGTCTTATTTGAGAAAATGAGAAAAAAAGTGAGCCCAGAAGAGACAGAGAATGAAGCAGCGCCAGTGGACTGGTGAGAACCGTGACTTAGTGCTTCTCTCTTTTCCAGATTCAGAAGTATTGCCAAGTCCTACTTCAGGAGAGCAGACGGTGTCCTGCTGCTGTATGATGTTACGTGTGAGAAGAGCTTTCTTAATGTACGAGAATGGGTGGATATGATTGAGGTAAGAAATCAAAACAGAGAAGCCGGAAATTGCACGGGGGAGCGGTAGGCCGTCTTGGAAAATGCTGGCTCTCCTTCGTCAGAGGTAGTGTGATGGGAACAGACTGATCCAAGCTGTTGCAGATAAGCAGATGTTGGAGGCAGAGTTCCCAGGGGCCCTGGGTAGGATTGGTCTCTCTCTCAGTAGCTGGGCAGGTTCCCACAAGGCCAAGGACACAACTAAAGGGAGCTTCTGGGAATAAAACTTCCGGGTGTTCTTACTGATAAAATCAGGGCCTCATTGGAAGCAAGTGGAAATGCAGGGCCCCTGAGAAGCTGCGGCTCTCACACCTGAGGCTGCTGTGGCTGGGGGTGCGGCATGTTTGGATGTGTACGGGGGCTTCCACGTGCACTAGACGTACAGGGGAAACACCAACTGGTGTGAGCATGTGTGAGGCCCACATTCTGTAGCAACTGTGTTCTCAGCCTTACTCTGGTAGTGATTTAGGTTGTTACACAGCCCGAGGTACCACTGAAAAACCAGTTGGTATTTTAAACGTGTGTGGTAACTACCTGTGCTTTCTTTTGATCAAATGAGGTGGTGCCTTTCATCTGAGGAGCTTTCATATCCTTTGGTTTCATGGTAAATAATTTTTGAAAGTAGGAAATGATTTGACCACATAGTGCTGCCAGCAGTTATTAATCAACAAAACTATAGTTCGAGCTATGGTTCAGCGTACTCTCTTGGGGGAAAAACCTGAAACTAATGGCTAATTCAGTTTTTCAAGTAGGTCTGTTATCTGTAATTTTTAACAGACATTAAGTGCAGGGGTAGCTAAACGGAGACCTTATTACTGTCTGTTCTCAAGTTTATTTCTGGATTATTCATTTGGGTCTATTTCATACCCATAAAAAAACAGAATTAATGTTCTCTTTTTAACTAAGAAGTGATGTGAAAAGTGACTTTGTAATTGGCAATAACACTTAGCGATAAATAAATGTGCATTTTGTCCTACTGAAATATCATGACTTACAATTACAAATACAGAGAAAGTGCATTGACATTTATATAATATTATTTCATAAAATTTTCCACATTATATTCACCTCTGTAACATATCTAAGAAAGGAAGAAACGTAGTATTATTTTCACTTATTATGAGGAACCTGAACCGTAGAAAGTATATGACACTGGCTGATAGTTTAGAGCTGAGGGTTGGAACGGGGCTAGAATTGGACCTCCTGATTCAGTGTGGTTGCTCCCTTGATAAAGCGTCAGAGTGTGAAGAAGCTTTGGAGGTCAAGAAAGGAATTCCAAGGTACAGTCAGTGCATGAAGGAGAGGCATCTACTCCAGGGAGCAAATGGCCCTCCCTGGGACAGAGCAGTGAGCCCATAGAGTAATGGATAATCCCAACTAACTCATACACATGGATGGTTAAAATTACAGCAAAACTTTTTATTGTTAAAACTGTTGGACCTAGTTTCCATTTTAAATCTTTGGATTGTTCTCAAGAAAAGGAAGCCTAAAAGGCAAGGCCAGCCACAGCACTGAAATGGCTCTTAGTGACCAGGAGCCCACACAGGGTAAGTGTCCTTACTTTCCAGCTGTTGGGAGCACCTTTCACGTGGTCTGAAGAGAAGAAAACTGTATTCAAGATGAATTATTGAATTTGTTATAGAGAAAAAATTGGAGACCACTTGGCATTTAACTTTCATCTTAGAAAAATAATGGATGCTATGAACCTTTGCCATGGCCCACCCTTTCCAATTCGAGGAAATTCTACAGGGACAGTTTATGTGGTCACTATATAAATGTGGGTAGAAACGAATTGTGTGATCATCAGGATAGTCCAGAGGATTGAGAAGAAGTAGAATGTCAGTAGTGAGTGGACTCTCTGCATTAATAATTATTTCACTTGGATCAAAAAGCACTAGGTTACAAAATCTTGTAATAAAATCGTGGGTAAAAAATAAAATTATGCCCATTTACTTTTCTGTCATGAATAATTTATTGATTGAGTATTGGGGTAAAAGTTGAATAGAGACACTTGAGACATGAGATCTCATCCTGACTTTTACACATTCAAAAATATTTTTGGGATACCTCCTCTGTGCAGGTACTGTTCTAGTGCTTGGGATGTATCTGTTAATAAAGAGCTCTGTCCTTATGGAGTGTGTACTTTAGTGACAGGGACATAACAAGAAACAAACCAAAATTAATAAAATAAATAGAATGATGGGAAGTGATAAATGTTATAGTAACAAAAAGCAGGCAGGGCAAAGGGCCTTGTGGTGAGGTGGTTTTCATTAGTGTGGTCCTGGCTCCACAAGAAGATCCTATTTTAGTCAAGACTTGAAGGAGCTATTTACAGGTTTGACTTTGGGAATTCATTTAGATGCTGGGATTATTGGTTTAAGAGAATATTTGGTTAATGGCTTCCAAATGACATCTCTTGAATCATGAGCAGATGGTTAAAGAACACAATTAACACTTTAAC